ACACTCCTGATAACCCTACAAGAGAACCAGAGGATGAAGATATTTTTCCTATTTTGGGTATTCATGTGTGTGACTTAGACATTGCCTTCTACAATTTAGTCCCAAGACAGCTATAAGGACCATATAGAATTGATTAAACTAGTGGATATATTGAAAAATGAGAACAGTTCACCTGAATTAATTGCCAGTCTTCCCCCAAACCTGGCCAAGCCATATGCTGAAGGAAGATTCACACTTCTGGATGGTTTGTTGTATTTCAGAAATAGGCACTCTAGTGTTCTAGTACTCTGTGATCAAGCCCAGATAGATAATATCTTGTATGAATGCCATGATAATGTCAACTCTGGTCATTTTTCTGAAGACAGAACAGTAGAAAGAATTAAGCATACTGCTTGGTGGATAGACTGGAGGTCTCAAGTAGCTGACTATGTCAAATCTTGTGAAGTTTGTCAGAAGTCAAATAAGCAGACTGGTAAGAGATATGGCTTACTTCAGAAAATTGCTGAACCCACTACTAAATGGGAAATAATTAACATGGACTTTGTGACTGGCCTTCCCCCTGGAGGAGCTTATTCTTATAACTCAGTATTAGTAGTTGTAGACAGATATTCCAAAAGGGCTAGGTTTATCCCTAACCATAAGGATGACACAGCTATGGAAGTAGCCATGATATTCTGGAATAGGATAATGGCAGATGTGGGTATTCCTAAAATTATAATCAGTGATAGAGACCCCAAATTTACCTCTGAATTTTGGAGAAATCTTCATGATATGTTGGGTACCAAATTAGCCTTTTCCACAGCTTACCACCCCCAAACTGATGGTTTGGCTGAAAGGATGATCCAGACATTAGAGGACATGCTGCGCAGGTTTTGTGCATTTGGTCTTGAGTTTAAAAACCATGATGGATATACTCATGATTGGGTTAGCCTTTTACCTGCTTTGGAAATTGCTTACAACAGCAGCAAGCATTCTTCTTCTAATGAAATACCTTTTGTTCTTGAAAGAGGCTGGATACCTAGGATGCCTAAAGATACCCTGAATGATAAATTACCCCATGTTCATCCTACAGCTCTTGACTTTAAAAAGATGCTAGATGTTACCCATAAACATGCTCAGAAGTGTGTTGAGGATGCAGTGGAGTATAATAAGAACAGATAGGACAAAAGCCATAAGCAGCCTGATTTTAAAATTGGTGATAAAGTTCTCTTGTCTACCATCAATTTTAATAATTTAGGTGGTAACAAGAAGCTTAAACCATCTTTTGTAGGTCCTTTTACTATCAAAGATTTGCATGGAAAGAATGCAGTAGAGGTCAT